AAGTAGAAAAGTAGATAAATGGAATGTAGATTTCAAATGTTTCGTCTTACCGACTTGACTCATGTGCTCAATTAAGAAATTTTGTGAAAGTCATTCCTGAATTTTATTCGGGTTCATCGGGGGTCATAAAACAATGGTAAAATTTACGGCTTCAATTTACATTTACAGAAGCGGACGGGAAAGGAAGAACTGTGTAACCGCGCGTCCTGGCGATTGAGGCTTATCGTTTGAAAAAAAATTCAACGTTGTTTCTCAGGTTAAAAAGAAGACTTCTAAGGGGAGGAAAAATAGAATATTAACCGCCGGGATTTTACAGTTGATTCCTTTACACACGGATCGGTTAGAAGGAACGATTTCTGAGAGACTAAATCATCCAAATGTACCTAAACTGGCTGAATTGAATAGTAACTGTATCGTTTGCTTTCCTCACGACGCAAGGCAATTTTGAGCTTGACGGGGCTTAAATTGTTTCTTCTTCGGCCGACATCTCCCTATTTCTTCTTTTAATAAAATTTGCCACGAACCTTTCTGCATGCAATATCAATAGAGTTTGTCGAATTATAACATTGTTCCATCGTACGACGTAAATGGAATAAATACATTTACTCTCATAGATTAGTCAGAAAAGATTATAATTAATCAATGTTAATTATGTCAAATTAATCAATATCGCGACATCCAATTCGAAAATTGGTAACAACCTTAATATAAAACATCGATTTTCTATCGATATCGAGTATTGAATATCGATTCAAATTAATAAGTTTTTATAATCGATAATAACAATTGAAATCACGATATACAACTAGAAATTGTCAATCACCAAAACTCAATATAAAACTTCTATGTGTTAACCACATCTATCATTTAACATGGATTAATCACTCATTTGTAATAATATTACATGATATATTTTAGCACTATACACTAGTAATATATCGATGGTACTGAGAGATCAAGCAAATGAATCTCCAAGGACGCACAAAAAACAATTGAACATGGATACATACAGACACTCACGAAACCGTTTATCACACAGAAAATTAAGATTTAAAAAAAATTGCTGAGATATTTATAAGAAAATTAATATTAAAAAGAGAAAAAGTTTGAGAGGATTCAATAGATGGTTGGATTAAGGCGGAAATCATAAATATTTATTTGTGTTTTTGTCCTAGCAGGACACGGGAAAGTCGCTCTGGATTTTAAGATGGATCTGTTGAATTGAAAAACCCGAGAAGGATTTCTGGGTGGAAAGGGTGGAATTAATCTAATCGGAAGTGTTATAAGAAAAAGGGAGAAAAGGGGCAGCTAGAACCATGCCTCTATGGTGGTTTAATCATAAATCAGTGTTCTTGTACGCATGAAAAAGCCTGTTGGAAAGTAGCACTTCGTTAATTTTTTTAACATCTTCTTCTTAATTCAATCTTAATTTTTCACGAAAAAGATTAATTGTGAATTTTTAAAGTAAAAGTAAGGTTTTATTTACATTGTTCGGTAGATATTGGCTTTTATTGCCACAACTACGAAATATGATCGACGGCTTGGGAGGGCCATGCAGCAGCTGTGGCTCAAAAACACTCCACCAATAAATGTTCAGTCGAAAATTGCTTTTCGCCAGTACCATATTGCGGTCATATATAGACATCTAGACGGAAAACAAACACTTTGAGTGAGTTCAAATCTAATTTAATCGAAAATTTTCTAGCATTGTATAAATTCATTTTTTTAATCTAAATTTTTTTAGCATTGTATAAATTTTTTTTTAAAATCTAAAATTTTCTAGCTTTGTAAAAATTCATTTTTTTTATCTAAAATTTTCTAGCATTGTATAAATTCACATTTTTCCCCCATCCTACATGTATTTGTCAAATTTAAACAATGTTTATAAATCTCAGTCCCTGAAGATGATCTCAATAGAGATCGAAACGTTGGCACGATAAAGAAAATGTTTTTCTAAAACCTACGTCACACCAGACCGCACCTCACGATCTCCAAATAATTATGGATTATATTATGTTAAACAAAAAAAGACTTTACCTATTAAAACACCTAACTATAATTTGACTTTACCATACCTTACAATTTTTTAAATTAAAGGCTTTGCTACTATTGAGGGCCTTATTTGAAAGAGATCCGCGTAATAATTGAAGCCAGTTGCACTTAAATGGTCGATTGATCATCTCGTTGGTAGGTGGGGTGGAAAGTTTGCTATTTCTGGGCAAAATTACCAAACGGCATCTCTCATAATAGGCCGTAATGGTTTATTAATTTGGTGTAATTGGTTTTCACCGACTGGTTCCTAAAACGGATTAGTTGCAAACTTCAACTTCAGTGACAATTGGCATGGTAAAGATAAAATAGCTATACAAACCCAAAATAGAGGATCAGGTAAAAATGATACAGATAAATTTTCCGGACTTTTCTTAAATGAAAAAATGAAATATAGTCTTGAAACCTGGTTTTCATGTCTGGAACCAAAAAATATTAAATTTAATAAATTTTATAATAAATTAAATAAATTAAAATCACGCCGTTAAGGTCACCCCCTTCCTAAATTGTTGCATCTAGAAACCATGGCAAGGTGACTTAGGATCCTATCCTTAATATACATTAAGCTTATTTTATAATTTTTTATAAGGCTAGATATAGGGAGCGTCAGTGGCCGCAACGGTTTAGGCGTTGACACAGCGCTCATCACTGTAAGGTAGAAGTCCCGGGTTCGAATCCAGCGGCCCTGCATTCGAACCCGACATACTTACAAATGGGCTTTTGTTCAAAAACACCGGCACCCTGAGGGTTTATATGACCTCTGCTGTTGAGAACCCTCGTTGCTCGTAAAAAAAAAGCTAGATATATAGGCTATGCTTGGAGCTTTAGGCTCCAGGTGATGCAAGAGGTAGAAATGAAGATTGTGTAAGAGATGGAGATAAAGAAGTGAATAAGATTTTAATCAGTTAAATATAAATACAGAGCGGTTCTAAACATTCCGGCCAGATCTTAAATTGTACGGTAATCTACGTAGTGATCATGAGTTTACTGCCTGTATGCTAGGTCGAAAATACATAGTTTAGTTTTTACTCCTAAACATTTTTTAATGTTTAATGTTTTAAATGTTTTGAACATTTTACCGATTATATCGGAAATATTGATTTGATTTAAGTAAGTAAAGTCGTAAAGGGTTGAAAATTAAAATCCTCTAAATCTTTCTTTAAAAAATTTTCCTACTCGTCATATTTGTCCAAAGGATTCTTGACGCGATGTCCATCCTAGAGTAAAAAAAAGAAGAATAAATAAAATCCAAATCTCACCCTTTTTTTACATATTTATTTTACATAAACGTTCATTTTAAATGAAATTCGATTCTCTACACCTTGTACCTAGTTTTTTAGTAAAAAGTTAAGTGTTACAGAGATATTAATGAAAATTTAGTCGCCTCGTTTCAATTTTTACTGTCGAAACACGTTTTCCTCTACATTTTTGCAAATATCCGTGAAAGCAAATATGGAGGATTAATTATTTTAAACAGATCGTTTAACATTTTACAGACGTGATACGCTGAGATAAACGGTCATAAGCAACCCTTCTGTCAAAGATAACGATGATGTTTTTACTTTTCTAAATCCTTACGTGCAAAGTTTTTAAACGACGAATTAAATAACATATGAAAGATTAAAAACGTGAACATAACCAACTTGCATTTCTAAAATAAATAAACGTTTTCTAACTTGTTCTAATGTCTGTTCAAAGTATTCTTGACGTGATGCACATTCTTGAACTCAAAAACTAACACAAATCTGGCAAAATTTCATCCTCCTCATTTCACATAGGCCTTGATTTTAAAGGAAATTTTATTCTCTTCAGTATTTAATTTATAACATACTGAGATAAATTTAAAAATATAAGAAAAAGAGTAGTAAAAATCAAACAAAGCTTTTTTTGTCCTTTTATATAGGGGTTTGTTACTCATCCAACATTGTTTAGGGGCAAGGATAGAATTATGGTGGTCACGACTCAAGAGTTTGTCCTATTAAAAGGGTTATAAACGTTTCATTTAATTTTTGCTATCAAAAAATATATTTTTCTATTTCAACTTAAGCGTTTAAAAATTTTCTTGGCTTGATATATGCCAGATAAATTGACCCCATTTGTCATGTAAATTAATTTGTTTACTCTTTTAAATCTTTACGTGTAAAATTTAGCCAAAAGATAAAATAAAAGGTACAGAAGTATTACAAAAAGTGAACTAAACCATAATTTTTATTTCTAAAATATTCCTGGCTTGTTATTATAATGCCTGACCCAAGGACTTTAGACGCGATGCCCACTCCTGAAACCAAAATCTGGCCACCGCAGGCAAAATCAAACGCTATTTATAGCCTAGAAAGGTTTAATTGAGTTTATTTAAAAGAAAATATCAATTCTCATCAACTTGTACAAAGGCATGTTTGTAAAGAAATTCAATTAATTAAGGGTTTTAGTTGAGATAAAAAAGTCATTGTCACGAGCGAGATTCGAACCCACGACCTTCGGTTTGATACGCCGCTACTCTACCACTTGAGCTATCGTGACTTCGATTCACTCGGGCACCAACTTCCCATCTCAACCCCATCTTTTGAATATTCCCTCCTTTTTCCATTTTTCGAATGGGTTCAAATCCCGCTCGTGACACTGTCTTTTTTATCTCAACTAAAAACCTTAATTAATTGAATGATATTAATTGGTCAAGCGGACCACGAAAACTAGTGAATTTGTCAAGAAAGTTAATAGTTTTTGAGTTATTTGCCAGAATATAAAAGTAAGTAAAAGAAAAAAATAGGTTTTTGACGGCCGGCTTTGTAATTGGCGAAACTTGCTAGTAATTCTTCACAGATGGTGAAATCTTGGGTGTAAAGGGCATTTGAAACCCTTAAAACCAATTAAACAGGTTTACTGATTAGGAATGGCTGATAAGAACAGTAGGGAACAAGATCCATGCCTATAAGACTTCGTTTATGTTCCAGGGACGATGAATTGCGTGAAATGCAGGACAACTTCTCTGACTACGACTACGACGTCGAGGAGGCGATCTCGACCTACCCCTGGGAGGAGTTGGTGCCGACTCTTATCGTCTACTCGGCCACATTGCTCCTCGGCGTCACGGGCAACCTCCTCATCATCGTCACAATCACGAAATACAGGAGGATGAAGAGCATCACGAATCTCTTTCTCGCAAGCCTGGCAACAGCCGATCTTCTCCTCATCCTCATATGCACACCGGTCAAGGTAAGATCAAATTATTTAATAAACGAAGGAATAATTCAAAATACATTTTCACCAACACGCACGTACACAAATAGATTCATTAATTTTTTTTCTTCAAAATATAACATTTGTAACTGGTTCTGTTCTTATATATTTTAAAAAAACATTAATTTGATATTAGAGCTGTTGGAAGCCAAGTTAATGCAAGGAAAAATGGAGACAAAAAAAAGTATTCTGTTAAAAAAAGAGAGAAAGAAAGGCGTTCAAAGAAAGGAAGATTTTAGGAGATATAAACCAAAAAGCGCGAAACACACATAAAAAAGAGAAAGACATTCGAACTTAGGAGCGGGAGTGAGATAGAGAAGAAGAGAGGGGAGAAAGATAGATAGATAGATGGATAGATGAAAATATATATATATATATATATATANGAGAGAGAGAGAGAGAGAGAGAGAGAGAGAGAGAGAGAGAGAGAGAGAGTTAAAAAAGGAGGAAAAATAGAGTGAAAGAAAATTAGTGAGTGAGGGTGAGAGAGAGAGAGAGAGAGAGAGAGAAAAGAAGAGAAGAAAATGAGTGAGTGAGTGTGAGAGTGAGTGAGAGAGAGAAGGTGATCGTGAACAACAAAAGAGAGAGAAAGAATGAGAGACTTAAATAAATAGAGAAACTGAGAGTGTGAGAATAACTTAGACGGAGAAATGAGCGAGACTGAAAAAAAAATTTGTGAGATTTTATAAACGGAAAGAAAGACACAGGAGTGCTAAGAATGGGAGAGTTCGAGAGAAAGAGAAAGTGATGGAGAGATATAAATAAAAATATTAGAAAAGATAGGTAAAACATACTATTTAAAGATTTTGTGACTGACTATTTACAATATTTTTTATTTGTTATGAAACTTAAGGAATAGTTTGTTGGTTTGTTACACTGTAAATTTCAATTGATTGACAAAATACAATACTTAATTGGAAAGGGCGAAACGGGGCGGACCGTTTTGATTTAGCGTCGTCGGTAAAACCCTGATAAGACTAATTACTTGATAAAGCTAATTGCTTCAAATACATGTTCTACCCTCCTACGACTGATATTTAGGCCGGCATACAGTCCAGACCGGTTTTAAGGAAATCCGACGCGATCCGCCCTGCTGATAAACATTTGGTAACGACCGTAACGCAAACAAAGCTGACGAAAAAAACAAATTCGTCGTGTAGAAATTAGATCTGAGAGGACCTTGGACCCACTCGTCTACGCCTTGTCTAATGCCCGTTCTTGTTTATTGTTTTCACGCAACCCCGGACCTACATCACGGGCAGCTATTCGGTCTAAATTTAATCAGCGATGTGGCCTGTGGTCAGAAGCGTTACCGCCCGTGGCTATTTTCGGACAAACATCATTCTCCCAAGTTGCTTGTGCTTTGCCCGCCGAAGCTACTGTTGAATGCTTGGAATGGGATATATCGATCATGTTTGGTCCGGCTGTCCTCTCTCTTGTCTGTTTTCTAATGTATACCTCCATGGTGATGCATTTGGCGCCAAAACCACGTCATGTTAAATTTTTTATTTTAAATTAGATGCTATCGTTTGTCGTTATTATCTTATTTTAACCATCGATGCCGGCCGTTGACTTTCACTACATACTAACTCAATTAGCCATGAAACCTCAATAAAAATATTGATGTTGATATAGTTATAAATTATATAACATATTAAACCCATTATATTTTGTGGTCCGATTGGCCAAATAACTTCTTTCAATTAATTAATTCTTTGTGTAATGGTTAAAATTTCATGGTTGAAATGAAAAAGTTATTGTCACGATCGGGTTTCGAACCCAGGAAGTTCGGCTAAATACACCGCTGCTTTACCACTTAACTGTCAGGATAGCTCAAGTGGTAGAGCAGCGGCGTATTTAACCGAAGGTCGTAGGTTCAAATCCCGCTCGTGACACTAACTTTTTCATCTCAACCAAAACCTTAGGTAAAGATTATATAACACAGTTGATCAATAGATATGCAATCGTTTGTGACCATCGAATAAAACAATCTAAATATGTTTAACCTTTGAACAACACAAAAACATAAAAACATGACTGTCGATATCGATAATTTTAACATATGTGCAACAATTGTATTTTTTACAATCAAAAGTGACGTCTTATGTTACGATATACCCCTCCATTTGGTTAAGCATCAAATATCAAAAGAAAAAGATCGATATTACCGTCGATATAATTATTTAACAACGATTTTAATTAAACTTATATTAATAAATAATCATACATAAATTAATTGGTCTTTATCGATTATAAAAAATATGGGTTTTCTTAGAATCGATGTTAACATCGATTTTTTCTTGATGTTTGTTGCTTAACTATCGAGTTACCTACACACTGCCGGTCAAAAGTTTAGCATAACCTCAATTTTTTGCAATAAAAGTATGAAAATAAATATTTCAAACAAAATTTTATTAAAATAATGAGAACATATCTGTGAAATAAATGTACATAAAATGACAGCAAAGTATTAATAGAAGTAATGTAGAAAAAAATTAGATATATGTGTTTTTTCGTCAAAAAATCCCCCCTTGCTTTTCAAGAAGGCTTGAACTACTCGTCGCATTACTTCCATAAGTTTTTCTAATTTTTCAAAAGGCATGTTACTCTAACAAATTTGGAGGAGCTCCAAAAGGTGTTTTTGTGAAGTTGGAGCAAGCACGAGTTCGGACGTTCCTATCTTGTTCTTCCCAAAGCGATTCAATTGGATTGAGATCCGGAGATTGAGTTGGCCAAGTCATGTTCTACAAAACTCCTTTATTTTCGTTTTCTTGTACATAGCGTCTACAAATTTGGGAAGCATGTTTAGCATCATTGTCTTGTTGCATAATAAAACCAGCTAAACGAAAACCAAAAGGGATTGCGTGGTCTTTCAAAATGTCTTTGTACCTACTTAATACTCTTTGTTGAGTATTCCTTGAATTTGTACGACATCTTGTCCAAAGCCCGAGAAACACCCCCACACAATAACTAAACTTCCCCCTTGCTTAATAGTCGGGATTATGCTCTGAGGAATAATCTTTTCTGATGGAGTACGACGAACCATAATCCTGCGACTCGATCCAAATACCTGAAACTTTGGTTCGTCGGTCCAGAATTCTTCAATCCTCCACTGGAAAATCCTTATGTGGAAGTGGCCACTGAAGTGGTTACAGTGTACCGATACGCCCCAACAAGTTGGCTTCCCTGAGTCTCCTTGTTACAGTTGAAACAGAAATTGATTTTTTTGTGATAATATTAACCTCAGCTCTAATTTGGTGGCCAGTGAGTCTTCTGTCCTTCTTGCTTTTCAAAATAATATATTTATCTTCCTGGGTAGATGTTATTCTGGGTCGTCCTGATCGAGCTCTGTCATGATGAGAGTTTGTCTCCTCGAAGCATGGAACCTGCTGTTATGGAACCCTTTTTTTTTAATTTTTAGTTGAGCAGTGATTTGGCACTCAGACTACTTTACTTTGTATACTGTTTAAATCGCAACAGAAAATATCTTCTTTTTACCCATTTTTGTAAGTGAAAACAGAACAAAACGAAACAGTCCATTAAAATCTTCAAACTTTGTGGTCTGAAACACACTGAAAAGAACCTAACGGCAGAAACGTATTGTGAGATAGACCGGAATGTAAACAAAACTTCAGACTCAACAAACACATCGTTAATCCTTAAGAATTATTACGGCGTTGTAATTGACAGTATCTGTAAAATTCTTCTTGATTACAATCTTTCTTTTTCTCGTAGTTTTTTTTACACCTGATTAACAGAATTGACCTTAAATGCAAGTTTCTACAGGGTATTCTTTATAACTATGTATTTAAAATTAGGCGTAATCACTGTTTTAAGTGATTTGTAATTAAAAAAAATCAATAATCATAATCAATTATCGATATGATCATGGAACTAGATTTTTGACCTCCAATGTATTTTAAAATTCAATGATAATTTTTTGAAATTTTTTTTATTATGAGGGGAGGGTTCGCAACAGTAGAAGTCATATAAACCCTCAGAGTGCCGGTATTAAAAAAAAAATCTCAGATGGCGAAACATATAATATTTATGTATATTCATTTAACTAATCTCTTTATGTAAGGTAAAATTATAAAGGGTACCTCAGGCCAGTTCAACTTCGAAATTTCAAATACGACCATTATATTTATATCCTGACAAATCATTTTAAAGGATCTTTTACGCTGAAAACAATGGTGAAATCGGATTTTCAATTGATCAAAAAATTACAAAGTTATGGTAACTTCCAGTTCGTGGTCCGATTGACCAATTAAGTAGTTTCAATTAATTAATATTTATGAAAGGTATTGGTTGAGATAAACAATTCAGTGTCACGAGCGGAATTTCAATCCACGACTTTCAGCTCAATACGCCGCTGCTCTACCACTTGAGCTATTGGGACTTCGATCCACTCGGACACAAACCTCCCTTCTCAACCTACCTTTTAAATTTTCCCTCCTTTTAGGCATTTTTCAAATGTTGTGTAATCCGGATTCGATTCTCGGCGACATAGAAGTGGCCACGGAGAGCTGTTGGTGAAGATATACTTCGTTTTACTTATTAAATCCATTACATTTCGTGAACCGATTGACCAAATAACTTTTTTCTATTAATTAATCTTTTTATGCAAGGTCTTGGTCGAAATGAAAAAGTTAGTGTCACGAGCGAGAACCCAACCCACGACGAATGAAACCGTCACAAAAATGAAAGTCTCGTTTCGAAAATGGAATCCTGATTACACGTCTTTTGAAAAATGGCAAAAAGAAGGGAAAATTCGAAAGGTAGATTAGATGGGGAGTTGGTGTCCGAGTGGATCGAAGTCTCGATAGCTCAAGTGGTAGAGCAGCGGCGTATCGTATCGAAGGTCGTGGGTTCGAATCCCGCTAACACTAACTTTTTCATTTACACAAAAAGATTAATTAATTGAAATAAGTTATTTGGTCAATCGGATCACGATGTGTAAGCGTGTCTCTTCTTCTTTTTGTTGGGCCCAAC